AAATACGGCCCAGCTGACTAATTTTTCTATTTTAATTGCCACGTTTATACTGGAAGGAAGGTGGAAGCTAATGTAGCATTGCTTGAAATACACCTAGCCAGAAATGACAGGGAAGCGATACCAATCAAACGGTGGCACTGCAATGGATTTTTTTATGGAAAAAAATATAAAGCAGGCTGCAGAGATCCTCTCTGCTTCTCTCACAAGTCCTCCCAGGGAACCGTTCTCATACATAAAATAAGAAGTTCCTCCAGCAAGCAGGAGAGCTGAGCCCATGGAGAGGCATTTCCACCCCAGCCTCCCCCTTGCGTCCTCCCCGCTGGTGCTTTCCCTCCTGCACGGCCTCCTGGGCTCCACCTCGCGCAGGAGGTACCTTGGGAGCTGACTTTAAATAGACGCCTGTAGAGGCTCCTTCCCCGGGTCTGAATCCGCATCCGCCCACGGGCAGCCTCCCACGGCAGCGGGAGCAGCTGCTCTGGGCCGCAGCCCCGGGGATGGCACCGCCGAGGCGGGAGCTCGTCCCCTGCTGCGGGACGAGGGGGTGGCCTCGCGGCCGGGCGCAAGCGGGTGCCCCTGTCCCGCACGGTGAGTGTGAATGGGTTCATTGAGGGCCACGTGGGACTCGCAGAGCCTTGCCGGGGTGCCTGTGGGGTGGTTGATCTTTTGGGGGGTTTGGGCTTCGTCTTTTTGATGAGTTTTCTTGCAGCTCGTCAGAGCAGCAGCTTGCAAGGCTTCAAACCCTTCTCTCTGATTTCCTGAAGCAGCGACTCCTCGGGAAGAAGAGGGCTGGTTTTGCAAAGGAAAAGCTCTTGTTGGGTGTAGCCAAGTCCAGGGCTGGTCCTGGAAGGGCTCTCCGTTCTGGAAGTGGAAAGTGGAAGAGCAGCTGCTTTACTTAAATAAGGTGACAAGTTTGTGTAAGGACAGTGGTTGATGTCCTTCTGTTTACGCCTGTCACCCAGTGAGGGGACACCAGGTGTCCAGGGCCTCGTTCTTATTCCGAATTATGTAAAATGGATGAAATAGGCAGTTCCCTCAGACTCAACTCTAGCTGCGTGCAGAGGTTTATTTCAGCAGACTGAGAGAAGGGCCAGCACTGAGTTCTGTGAGTCCCTTCCCCTCCTCGACTTGCTCTGTCTCACTGGTGCTAACCTGGCAGCTTCTGTTTTCCCCTAAATTTTGTGTAGGTTTTGCATCCTTTCCCCGTGGCAGCTTTCTGGAAGCTGCTTGTTTGCTTTCTCCCCCGTCCCTTTGGATCGGGCTGTTACGGTAAGGCCAGGAGCCTGTGCTCCTTGGGGAATAAAACCATGGAGGGTCCAAACGCTGCGAACATCAGATGGGAAAAATCTGCCGAGGTGCCCTTCAGCGCTGCTTGTATTTCCTAGTTAACTGCTGCATTTATCTTGCTTGTTGATTAATTCCCTCTGCTTCCTGGCACATACTGGTGCCTGTTCTGCTGATTACTGAGTTCTTCGGGATTTTAGATTTATTTTTCTTTCCTGTTTTCAGGTGTTCACTTATCTCCTTGTTGCTTTAGGGTAACTGTTGAGGGAATGGAGAATATCACTTCAGGGTGGAGGATTTCTGGGAATATCCGTGGTCTGAAACTGATGCACGCAGACCCTGGGCATGCCGTGTTCTACCACAGCTGACATTTGTTAGGGCTTAGTATTTATTGGTGCAGATTGCACCAGATCAGTACACAGAGCCGAAACAACTGTGGTGTTTGCTAGGAACAATTTCGCTGCTTCATTTATCCCTGCAAGATTGCGCTGTCGGTGTCTGTGACTCTGCAGAAGCAGCACGAGAACATCGTGTCCTCCTGCCTTTGCCTGGGCTTGGCACGGGACAGGACAGACCCCGCTGTGCCCTGCCCTGGGGTGGCAGCGGGGGACACCCCAGAGGTTGCTGCCACCGCAGGTCTGATGCCTTGGGGAAGGTGACATCCCTGCCTGGGCTTATAACTGTGTTGGGAGCTCGGAGATCTCTGCAAGAGAGAGGTTTGTATGAGGGAGAAGGCTAAGGTTCAAGCTCAGCTACACATCTGAAGGCCTCCTCGGAGGCTGGGAGCTGCTGCGGATGGGGCTGCAGAGGGGCACAAGTCCTCTTCATCCTGCTTAAGCTCGGTGAAGAGGCTTCCCTCCCTGCAGTTCTTCCTGCTCTTCCACCCATCCTCTGCCTTGGATGTTGGGCCAGGACGTTTGCCGGGGCAGGAGTTTCCTCGCATGAATCTGTAGCATTGAGGGCTGGAATTTGGGGCACCACGTGGTGTTCTGGCCCGCAGTCGTCACCGAGCATCATATGTTCAGGTGAGACCTGTGGCCCATGCAGAGCATCTTTGTAGTGACAGGGACGCCACCTCCTTGGGGGAAGGACTGATAACCCAAGCGCGGTGCCTTGGTTAGGCAGACAGAAGCCAACCGACAACATTTCATAATTAATCTGCCTCCGTGGAAGGACAAATGCCAGTTCTATTAGTGTAACGTGGCGTCTGCAACAGTTGGGCTAAAAATGAGCCCCTCGCCGCCTGCTCGGCTGCACCTCGTCCTCCCTGCAGAATCCATGCCCATGGATCCGTCCTGCCCGCTTGCACCTGCCTCCCGTGCCGTGCTCCGCTCCCGAGCACGGGAATCTGCCCGAGGGCCCTTGGAGGAAGGGAGAAAGTTGGCGATGATGATTTTTGCAAGTGGTACGGAGAATGAAAATGTTCAGGAAACCTTTTGGGAGCGCTTGAATTTCTAAATGTTTTTGTTTTGCTCTTTTTTTTTTTCTCCTGATAAAGTTTGCTTTGGACAAATGCACCCTGTATTTAACAATGCTGCAGTCTCTTAGGTCCAGCAGCACAACTGTAAGGGGCAGCAGTGGTTTTACCCGTGTGAGCTAGTACCACTTACCAAGAGATGTAGCTAAAATGGAGACAATGTGAATTCCTTGGTATTTATCTAAAAGGGGTTTAAAACTGGCTGTTCATTTTTAGATCTCAGAACAGATTACAAATTCAAAACTGAATTTAGGAAGAGTATCAATGAGGCCTATACAAATAGCAATGAGAGGTTTGTTTTGTTCTTAAGTGCTGTACTAAATTGGGCAGAGAATCAAGGTGAATTGTCCTGGATGGGCTGAGACTTTATCAATGTTAGTGTGCTTTTCACTACATTATTATCTTAGTTTCACTGTTTACTGTGGAAAAAAAAGCTGATGTTTACATTTTTTCCAAAGGTCATACTTTTAGTTTCTGTTATTCAGAAATGCTTTTGCTTTTATTCACTTTTGGTTTCAGTATGATTAGCAAGTGTATAGAGAACACTTATTTTTTCTGTCTGAAGTAATTGTTTCAGACTCCTTGCTGAAAACAGGAAGACTCATCATCCTTTCCCATCCTACAAAAAAAGGAGAGAAAAAAACAAAAAGAACTAGCCTTGAAACAGAAAGAACCAAATGAGTAGGACGATAAAGTTGTTTTTGCTGAGAGGTGGGGAGATTCTCCTAGTTTTACATAGCTTCCTAGGAAGGCTTCCAGCATTGCCCCATGGTGGGTGTCAGCTACATATTGGAACCTTCTCCTTAAACGTCGGGTCCTGCTCGTCCGGGTCCTGCTCGTCCCGGGAGCCACGTCCCGGATCGCAGCGCCGGGTCTCTGCAGTGAGCCCAGCTCTGGTGTAACTGGCTCATCCTCAAAGGTGTGTTTTGAGTTACGCTCCTTTGGGAGCCTCTCGTCTCGTGTATCCAGCACGTACGGATGTTTGTCTGCCTTGTGAAAACTAAATTAGAGTGGGCGATGACAAAGCTTGATGCAGCTAATGAGGAATGAATTACTGTATAACGCTAATCAGATTGGGTCTTGATGTTATTTAGATGTATGTCGGGCTATAAAGCTATGCAGATACAATTATTATTATATTTTAAAGAACAGTAATGTGTTAAAGTTATTGTTGATTTACAGTTCAGTGTGCTAGAATGGTTAAAATGGAAAGAACCACTTTTTTCCTGCCCGATAGTCCCGGGAAGTTGGTTGGAAGCGCTTGGTGCTTTAGAAGAAAATGAAGCAGACGCCAATTTCTAAAGTGTGGCAATTCTTTTAATGCAGGGTTGTTTCCTCCGCGTGAGGATGCGGATGCAGAAGGGGGTGTCCAATGCAGAACTGGGAGCCGCTGGTCTCGGTGCAGATGGGCCCTGCACTTTCTCTCCCAGGTTTATCCCTCCCTTGGAGCCTTGTGGTGGGCATTGAGATGTTGGGATAACGTAGGTGACTCCGTGTCCGGCGCTTTCAACGCTGGCACCCGGCTGGCAAGGCCAAAGTGACGTTCAGGCTCCACGTGGCTTGGCCGTGAATCAGCCGGTGATGCTAATGAGCATTTGTGGACTAAATATATTTTTAAGCTGCCTGACTGCTTGTTCCTGATGAGGATGGGAGATTAACAGTCCTTAGATGCTGCTTGGGTTTCCTTCGGGGTGAATCTGACCTTCTCTGGCTTTTTGTTGTTGTTGCATTTTCGTTGCCCACGGGCTGGAGGAAGGCGGTGGCACCTGCGGTCCCTCCGGTCACTCATCGCTGTCCTCCTCAGCTGAGAAATCCAAAAGGCCTAAGGGGACTTGAGAGATCACTCAGCACTGCCTCTAAATGGGAAATGCGGTAGCGGGAAGTTGGGGTGATGTTGTGCAGAGAGCACACGACGAGTGGTCAGTGCAACGCTTATTTATTTTTTATTTTTTCCCTTCTAAATTTCCATGAGTTCGAGCTGGCGATGACTCATGGCTTGGAACGTGCTTTAAATCCCCGGGGTGCTCGTTGCCGCCCACCATCACGTATTGAATTGCTGACATTCCGGAGGGATGTCTGCAGAGAAACTCTGATGTGCAATTAGCAAGCGCCGGAGCTGCGCGGTGTTTGCATAGGAGCCGTTAGCCATGGTATAGCCGCGGCAGCGCCGCAGCTCGCCCGGGCTGCCGGTTCCCCCGGGCGCTGCAGTTAAGCTTTATCTGCTTTATCTTCCCCTAGGATGTTGACACATGTGGACCTCCAGTGACATCCTCCTCCAGCAAGGCTGTCTCCGCTCCCTCCTGCGCTCAGAAGCCTCTGGAGGGATTTATTTTGCAGAAGGTAGGTCCTCGCAGTGCAGCTGGATGGCTGTCCTTTTATATTGCCAAAAAAAATCAATTTAAAAAGAAGACTCAAATGTTACTGGAACAGCAATGACTCTGAAGGCTACTAGCTGGCCAGCAGTGAGGGAGGGGATTAACCTTAGCTTGGTTTCCACTTGCATAGATGCTTGGAAAAACTCTTAAAAAATAGAGCCAGGAGGAACGATGCTACAGGTTGCCTTTGAGAGGGCAACCTGGCAACTGCAGGACGTGTTGGCTTGGATTTTGTGGACGTGTGTTGGGAACAAACCTCTTTCTAAGGAAAATTCACGCTCCTCACCTTTTGTTTTGGCTTAGCCAGCACCCTTGTTCGAAATGTTTTTAAGCAAATGCTTTAAAAAGGAAGCAGGGTGTGTACCTGTTAGAAACTTTTTGTGTATGTTTAAGTTTTGTGGGGGGTCAGTCTCCCACCTGAAAATTTTTTTATGATGTGAAATGCATGATTACCTGCCATTCCCTTATACTGTAACCTCTGGAGCTTCCGTTAAAGGTTTCCTGCGAATCTTTTCATCTCATTAAAACTCTGTTGTTTGAGTTCTAAAAATATGTGTCGTAGTGCTAAATCCAAAATTAGTGGCTGAGCAATTTTTTCGGTAGACGAGTACTCAGCCTTTAGATCAGTCCTGAATGGATAGTTTTGACCTCAGTTGTGTCTTGTTTTCTTCCGCGCATTCCTCACCCTTTTTTATTTTTTTAATTTTTTTTCTTCTATCCAAAGGGTGTTTTTAACCCTTAACACTACCGAGTGTCCTGCTTTACAGTGTTCCTGAGCTTTGCCAGCCTTTCATTTATGCCAAAACCGCTGGTTTCTGTCTTTTGATTTGAGCAGTGGATTACTGGGAAGAGCAGAGAAAGGAGGAAGGGGTTGGGATCTGGGGCTGTCCATGTACAAGACTAAAAGGTGCTCTGAGTTTCTCCGGGTTTATGCCTTAGAGTCATAGCAGTTATGCTGAAACGACAGTGTCACCGACACCAGCTCCGTGTTCGCATGCATTAGCTTTACCAGAAATCCTTGAAAATTACGGATCATTTGAATACCTGAAGTATCTCCTGTGAGGACTGTTCATCACTATTTGCTGTGTCGATTCCCTTCCGACACTCCTCTCCCCAGGATCCACGGAGCCCTAGGGCTCCCGGCACCGCAGCGTGTCCCAACACGAGACACTCCGTTGCCTCCGAGAGCCTCCTGCTCTCCTGCCTGCGAGGTGGCTGGGAACAAGTACCCCTGGAATAACTTCTGCTGCCAGCAGCCCTTAGCAGAGGAGCTCATGCTCTTGGAGGCACTAATTGCAACCTGGATTTGTGCTCCTGCCCTGAGGAAGAGCTGAGGGGTGTCCGTGTGCTCCCCCTTAGGCTGCCGTGGAGCAGGTCCCTCCAGATTGGTGGTAAGAGCAAAGGAGAAATGCAGCCCTTAGCGTGTTTGGGGTTTGCTTTGCCTTGAGGCTACTGCTCTGCTCATTTCACCTGCCTGGAGGGTTTAATACTCTGCAGGGCTGACACTCCTTTATGCAGAAGGTGCCTAAGTGATCATTAAGTCTCTGGGCGGGTAGAGAGCGGTGCCTTCCATCGCAGCAAAATTAAACCACGCAGCTTGCATCACTAGAGAGCAAGTGATGTCCCTGGAACGGCAGGTAGGGTGTGTGGGGAGATAAATGGATTTTAAACCTTGTCAAGGAATGCAGCATTCATGAAAACAAGGGGCAGAAAAGCACCGCCCAGAGCAAGGGAAACTGCTGCGGGCGCCGGCTGATTTTTCCTGCCAGCCTTTTGTGGCTCAGGCCTGGGGGTGACAAATCCAGGTTCCTGGGCGAGCAAAACCACGGAGAAGCCTTCCTGGGAAATCCTACCTGTGCGTAATTTTCACGGGGTTGTTTTAAAATCCAAGGAAGTGGTCTGGGCAGCTGGTACAAGCAGGCAGGCAGAATCGGAAGGGCACGTGTGGAGTTAAAGCCTGCCTTTGTTTGGGTCGGAACAGGGGCTGTTTGGGGCTTGGGGCAAATCATGCCCCCCATATCCCCAAGGAACTCATGTCCATTACAGGAAACATGGGGCTGCTTCACAGCTGGTTCTTTCCTTTCTCCTTCTCCTCCCTTGCTGGCAGCTCCTGCCCTTTGGCCTGGGCTCAGATTTGTAGGTCCACTTCCCCCCTCACCAGCTGCCACCCTCAGACTGGTACAGTGCAACCCGTTGTTGCCCTTCCAGAGCCCTATGGGTTTTGACATGGAAGTGAACTGGGACTGAATCCAGCTTTCTTTCAATGCCCTGTATATATGAGGGGCTCACAGTGTGACCCCAACCTGAGAACTGCATCCCCCTGTAAACGGGTGAGTAATGGAAGAGCGCGATTGAGTGCAGGCTGTTTTCATGCTAGAACCTTCACAGGTTGCAAAATGCTGCCCGGGGAGCCAGATAGAAGCAATAACCCCTCAGAGGACTGGGCTGGTGGCTGTCTTTGTGCTGGTGACACAACTGTGGCATTGCCCAGCTCCACGACATAGGTGGTGGGTCAGCATCTCTGCCAGAGGGAGACAGCTGAATCTCATGCAAGTTAGAACTGACTGTCTAGGACCTAAAGGCTTGGAAAGGAACAAAAGGACCTTAAGGGATTGTTTCCTGCATGGTCTGGCACCTTGAAACTCCCAGTGGAGATATGGGCTTTTATTTGGTTATTTTTCTTAGTTTTGCAGTAAAATACTAGGGCAGGAGGCCCTGTTTGGACATGTGCATTTGACTGGGTGGAAAGAGCTGATGACTCTGGTGTGGTTGTAACCACAGACTAACTGACAGTTTCCTGCTGCTAGTAACTTTCTATAGATAAAAACCTCCTTCACTAGCGTGTGTTGGTCTCTGATGTTTAAACATCTGAGGAAGGTTCTGCTGTTTCTGGGGTTCTTGTTTTTGTCAAAGTCTTTGTAGTTCTCTGGAGGTTGGTGGTAGAGAGATCATTACGGAAATAATAAAAATTCTGGACCAGTGAAGGGCAGAAGTCTATTTAATGGTCTTGTATAACTTAAAAGCCCAAACCAACCCCATTTAATATGCGTGAGCCTCGTTGTGCAATTAAATTTGCATGTACAAAGCTCTGGTTCTGGGGAGGTAGGTTATAATCACATGAACCAACCTGTGTTTTCAAGATCCTTTCATCCTATATCTCCATGGGATCCTTTCTTGCTTTTAACTCTCCTTCCTGTCCCTTTTCCCCTACCCTTCTCCCCTTGGATGTGTAAAATATCACAGCTGCAAAAATGAGAGTCCTCCTTTCCCTGCTGTTCCCATTCCAGCTGGAAAACTTGGACACATCCTTCCCTTGTGGTTTGTGATACTGTAAATAAAGGCTTGGGAGGTCACACGTTTTCCATCTCAAGTTATTTTGATTCCAGTGCAGGAATGGGGGGGAGGAGGAGGAGGGAAATGAAAAAAAGCAAAACCCCAAACTGCTCTGGTTTATTGTGGAAAAAACAACTCATTAATATGAGGGAAAACAATGTGGGGAAAAAAGGTCTTTACAAAGACTGTTTCTGACCAAAGCAGAGACTTGGGGAATCAGGGTCAAAATTTGCAAAGATATCTTCTCTTATAGTTTTCAAATAACTTTTTTTCTTAAAAGTAATGGTTTTGAACACCTAATTCCTGTGATCTGATGCTGTTTCTGGATGCTTCTGAGTAATTTGCTGTCTATTACAGAGTTATGTCAATACACTTTTAAAGTATCTGCGAGTAATTTTACCTGTGCTGACAGTGAGTGGCCTGTATGGCTACAGTTACTCATCTGTTTGTCTGTTTGAGTGTCAGTTAAGTGGACCTTTACATATGGATTTGAGGGAATTCTGGCCCTAGGTCTTGCTGGCTGCGATGCATCTCCTGGTGCAGCCAGTCTAAGTCTCTGCTCATGGTCCAGGATGGCACCTCGTGGTCCAGGCCATGATGAATGGGAAATATTTAATATGCACCTACTCCAGATCACGGTACAGCTCTGCCTTCCAGAAACCGCCACAGAATCGTGGCATGTCCAGGCAGCTGCTACTGTTGTTATTTGAGGCTGGCCTCCTCATCTCACCTCTGTTCCTGTCCATGGTGGTGTTCGAGGCTTTGAATATTTGCAGAAAATACGGCTTGGGTTTAAATTGCTATTTCATGTTCTTACTTTAATTCTGGTTTGGATTTATGAAGAAACAAGAGCTCAGAACAAGCTCCATTGGGCTTTATTACAGGCTGGTGATATGCAGAGTGTGATTAATATTGGCTTGCTATGGAGAAACTAACAGTTACCGGCGATTCTGTGTCACTTATTTTTGTTTGACTTCTGAAGAGGCCTTTTCCTGATAAAGACTTTCTTGTTCTTTTTTAGCAAAACAGGATATAAAATGTGAATATAATTTGTCACTACAGAGCTCACGTTGTACCTTGCTACTGCAGAAGTATTTCTTTTTCCAAAAACCATTATATTTATAAATATACAGCAGGAGCAGAAGAGACATTTCACCATCTAGATGTTAATCTTTGTACAGCGCAGATTCATTAGATCTGTAGATCTTTAGATTCATTAACTTTTTCCAACCTCATCTTCTGTGTTTTCCTTCGCTTAAATGGGCACGTGACATATGGACATAAAAAATAATGGCCCAATTTCACCCCTGCTGTAGCTCATTGACGTCACTAAAGCTACAGCAGGGATGACTTGCCCCAGTTTCTTTAAAAATAAGACCTGATGAACAACCCCTCATGGAAAAGCTCCATAGAGAAGGTTGTCCTGAGCATTGCAGCAGACGCTAGGTAATGTGCGGTGACTTTGATAACATTCCCATTCCTTGGTTGGTTCCATTCTTTTGAAATAAGGATAGGGATAAGGAAGGGGCAGCAAGACAAGTGCTAGTGGACTCACCTGTACCATAACCTATAGCTATAGGGACAGTTAATCGAGAGAGAAGGTCATCAAAGAGAGTAAGTTCAGGGTGGGTG